CAATGAATATCTGCAATTTGTCCCTCTTCCAAGATGAGCTTTAGCGTTATATTGAATTTGCAAAAAGGATGGATTATTTTTGAGGAAACAACTGAAGTGTTGTTATCTCTACGCATTTTTTTACTCTGTACAAGAAGAGGCCAAAATCAAATCAATAAAACTGATTTTTTTTCAAGGTTTGATCGGTCAAATAAAAAAAACGAAAACAATAGTGAAGGTAAAATTTTTTTTATTAGCAACATATAGCAACTTTCCAGCTACTACTCTACATGGTCGCAGCTTCGATTCTGATATTTTCTTAGCGTACTTTCCAACACTATCTTCATAAAAGGGAGCCGCCTTTGCTTTAAGTCAACTCTCTACGCTTGTATGCAGTTCATCTCCCTGTGCCAAAAGGAATTTTCCGCTAGCAAGAGTTTAATGTAAGCAAAGAGATGAAAATCAGACAACAAATCACTCTACACAAATCATGAATTATTCTCGAATCGCCCCCTGAACAAGATTATCGATTAACACTAGTTCCCTTTCCTGACCGTCTGCCTCATGAACGTCAGTATGTCATGCTTCAAAGTTCCTGCAACACTGTCACACTTGGCTGTCACTTAAGTTTCACGATACACACTATTCATTAGTCGATGAATTTTGACTGCATTGAGAACCATGAAGTAATCAACTAGCAGCTCACACATTATTCTTAGCGAGTGATTTAATTGCTGTACCCATGTTTATGAGGGCATTTCACAGTCAACAGTTACACTTATTTGAGTATTCCGCAACACACGTGTGCAAAGCTTTATCAGATTTCAACTGTGCAGATGACTAATCAGACCTTAAAAAAATAACCCTTGTATAAATCAAAAATTTATATATTTTATGATTAAAAATCTTAAAATTATTTAACTATTAGTCCTATATACTTGTGCTAAGTCTCGAACAAAACTTCAACTGTATAAATACTAATTTCAAACACTCAAAAAGGTATAAATAATTTTTTTTTTACTTTTAATACATACATCATAGTTCGAAGAAAAACAATAGGAACAAAAGCAAACGCTAGCATTTAAAAAAATCAGGTTTTAACCGCATTGGATTTTGAATAATTTAAGCATAAGTAACTACATACTGTAATTAAAAATAGGTTACCTATAATATCAATAGCATCTAGTGATATTGTAGGTAACCTTACTAGATGATGTAAAATTTTTTGAAAAAGTGGAAAAGTCTTAAGATACCAATGGTATCACCAAAACAATAAGTAATTGGTACAAAGACAAGAAGATAATTTCTTTTGTATTAATCAATCGCGAAAGCTATAGCTGCACCCTTACAAGTTCTTATGGTATCATTCGATTTATCTTAAGTAAGTTTACAAGAAACAAAATCTCATTTGCTAGATATAAGTTAATATCACATCTTACCCCTTATAAGCTGAGGGGTGATATTAACTTATAAGTTAATATCACATCCTCTGCAGAAGATTCAATGTGGCGTCTGAAGCTGATTTCAAGATAGGGCTAATAATTTCTAGCTTTCTTCTAATTATTTCCGTATTCAGCTACTTAGGAATCGGTCTATTAAAATATGTAAAATTAAAAATATCATTCATTATATAATACATAGAAATTCGCATTTATGAATAGTTTTAATACTATTCGCAAATTTCATTTTCTTTGCAAATTTTCTACTTATTTTTTTAAAATATTCTCCCTAAATGTAATTCTATTACTTATTTACATAGAATTTGTGAGTAATACTTTTATGTATGGAAGTCAATTAATATTTTCACGAATTAATACAGATTTAACCCATTGATGCCCGGTTATAAAAAATGGTCTATGGTGAAAAACACCTACATGAAAAAATTGGTTATTTTTCCAACTATCTACCACTTTAGCTTTAAAAAGACGCTGTGCTCCGACTTCAGATCCAATATAAATATTGATATAATTATTGTATGATGGTTGACGAAACTATTTGTTTCTACAAAATAAATCTTTATAATAAAAACTATATCCTACCACTCTATATGTTTGAAAAAAGAACGAAAGGAACAAATAAGTTAGTCTCCCTTTACTATTCAATGATTTAATTCGAAATATATTAGTGAGTGCATTATTTTGCAAATTAATTTAGTGTAAAAATCTGGAAAATATTTTGTGGTTTAGATATGATTTCCTTTATGTTGCACTGTGATTGATTCGCTAAAAAAATCTGAATAAAAATCAAAACAATATCATTGTGGTGGCTGTTACCAATTACCATTACCATTGTTATTACCAATTACATTTTTGATAATTACAAAACTGCTGAAGCAAAAAACCTACCTAAACTTAGACGGTACGGTTAGAATCTAAAATGTTGCTTCGTTTGAGTTAAGGTTTGCGTATGACGACTGTACGTTTTGTGATTTTTCCAGATCGAAGATTAGTGTTAACGAGTAAGAAATGTGTTGTACAAAGTTAGTATTTTTTTAAATATCTTACATTTAATGCGAGTGCCACCAGAGCTTTTACTATGCGTACCATTTCATGTAATTCCAACAACTGTTATTGGAAGAGCCGAAAAGTCTTTATTTGTTGAAAAATAAGATTTATACATATCCTAATCATCCCAAATACATGTATATTTTTTACTTTTCTTATTCATGGCTCTATTAAAGAAGGAAAAGATTTGAATTGTAAGTATATATCTTTGTGATTAACAATTTTAATTTGCGTGACTGGTTGCGTATGTGTTTTGTGTGGCGTTGCGTGAAAGGTATAAACTATTTAGAAATTTTGTGAAGAGCTTAGTTGTTACTTTATAAACATGGAGAGAAAATGTCCTCATCTGGTAATCAGAAGTTTAGAAATACACCAATATTTATGAAATTTGCGACACCATGAAGTAATTATGCAAATTAACCCAAACTTACATAAATGTAATGTGAGGTAAGATATGCAAATGATTAGAATGACTAAGTGCTTGCTCATGTACCTCTATCAGTATGTAGAATAAATTTCATTTATTTCTCACAATTTCTTCTAAGTGTTGCAAATGTTACAAACATCACATAGGTTAATCAAACAAACAAGAAACTAAATTAATCGAAGGAATTCCGTTGCTTTTGAAAAACAATTAACTTTATATAAATATTTTTTAAAAAAAGTATAGTTCTGAAGATAATCTCAGTAACTGGCTTCATTGTTTTGTTAATTAGATATACACTGAAGAGCCATTACATTATGACCACCCAGCTAATTACATGCAGGACCACCTTTAGTCCTCAAAACTGCTAGCACCCGTCGTGGCATTAATTCAGCAAGGTGCTGATAGGTAGTCTGAGGTATCTGGAAACCAAGCGCTCACCAACTGGTCCTGCAATTCTCTCACATTGCGAGGGGGTAGCGTGGCAGCACGAATTTGGTTTTCCAACTAGGACCACAAATGCTCTATTGGATTAAGGTCAGGTGAATTTGGGGGCCAAGACATGACTTGATAGTCACTGGAATGTTCCTTGGCGTTTCGACCCTTATGATATGGTGCATTATCCTGTTGGTAAACACCATCCCCCGCAGGAAAAACTGTTGCCATGAGTGGGTGAACTTGGTCTGCAACTATGTTCAAGTAGCTTACAGACGTCAGGGATTGTTCTATGAGGATTATGGGTCCTAATGTGCACCATGAAAACATTGTTCCTGGGCGAGAAACTTGGGCGAGCCCATTGTTATAGATGGAGGGGGGTCATAACGTAATGGCTCTTCGGTGTATATTGTTAATAGAAAGACCAAATTAAAACTTAGACTCTGTTTTCCTAGTCTAAGTAATTTTGTCCATTTAGTTTTATTAAAGTCATCATTGTGTTGAATTGGAGTGACGTCATACGTTATAAATAATAATTCCACGGCAGGGACATTCAGATATTTTAATTTTTTACATATATCGTTTTCATTAATATTAATAAAATCATTTCTTTGTGCCCGTGCTTGATACAAAGCTATTTATAACATCGATACACATACACAATTTTTTTTTGTTTAAAATATAAATTTATCATATACATCTCGCTTGAAATAAAATGATGGAATTGCCCTATATTTTTAATGATACATATAATAGTTCTCTGGTATTAACACAAAACAACCTAAGTACCTATAAAATGCAGTACTGCTCCTATAGTGCAACTTTTTTAAATGTGTAAATTATTATGAAATTACTGAATTTAATTTTTAAAGTTTTTAAATTAGTATATCAGCATCTTGAAAGAAGCGTGCATATATTTTAATTAAGAATAAAAACCAGATTTTTAGCCATTTATTTTTTATTGAGCCTAGTGCTATCGTTTATTTTCTAGAAATTGTTTGGGCTTTCAAGTTTTTGAAACAAAATTAAAAAAAAGAAAAATTTTATTTTTGATATTCTATATCATCTTCCTCGAATATCCTAATATATACATTATTTTACGTATGGGTTTTCTTTCACACTAGTCAAAATCGGTCTATACTATATTACATATAAAGTAAATAGTATATTTTTTAAATGCATGAGCTGATATACAAAAATTACAACTTTTTAAAATAATGTTGAAAAACAAGACGGTATTAAAAATTATGATAAAATAGTCTAATTGCCTGGAAACTTAAAGGCATCAGAAACATAATCTATATCATAAATAATACATATACACTATATGCTACTGTATTTCTGAGTCATTTAGGCATATTTATAACCAAAATGTATAGCCCTCTCTATAATTCGCATTAATATATATTAAATGGAGTATATCTATGTACTTATGTACATACATATCACAACAAGATATAATATAAGAACATATACACATGGCAAGGTGCCGTTTACTATAGACTCTGATTTTATTATCAACTTTTATGCATATTTCTATCCAGTGCTATATACTGGAATAAAGTTATCAGACTATAAATTTCGAAATATTTTAATTTCAGGTACGTTTTTGTCAAGTAACGAAAAGTGTCTTTAAATTGGGTAATAAGAAATCGGTCTGCTCATGTAAACTTTAATCAATGTCTTTCAAAACATATTTATAAAAACTATATTTGTTGTTTGGAATGTTTCTATGATGAATGTTTCTATGATACTTAAGCATCTATGATACTTCCTTAATGTTCGTGTTTTTCATCTTCGAGATTATCCTTATCACATTCACAGCCGTCTTCGTTAACGTTTAGCAGGTTGACGCCCTGTGGATCCTGAAAATTCCGTTCGGAACTGTTCCAAATTCCGTAACTGAGGTACAGCAGAGAGCCTAATGAGTAAGAACATGAGTTAAAAGCATACAAGAGTTTTAAATGAGCTAATTGATTAAGAATTAAGAAGTTTTAATCCAAATCAAAAATAGTTACGATAATGAAGATCAGAATTTACGAAATGCAGAAATTTTGATCGTAAACAAATACAATAACAAATGCATTCTGATAGAGAAAATGAAACGAGTAATTAGAGATAAGAATAATTAGATGATGATACCACCTCAAAATAGTAGGAAACTGTATACAGTCATAGCATTTCAGTTAATGATTATAACATAACATCGTGCTATGAAAAATTAAGAAATTAGAACAAAGTTCTGAAAAATAAAATCAATTTTTATTAATTCGCAAATATTTGTCATTTCTTTCACGCGTTACTTTAGATTGTTCGTATAGAATATTTCTATTTTTAAAAAAATAAAGCATTTTCTTTTCGAGGAAAAATTGAGACTGTGTTACTTTTAAAACTAATGTTTAAGGAAGAATTAGCAAATAAGTGATATTTAACAATGTTTTAAAACAAAACAGTTATACTAAAAAATAATTTATCAACAAGAATAAAGTAAGGTACAGGTCGGCGAATTTTAGAGCTTTTTTATGGATAATTTGTCATTTCGTAAAAAGCTTAGAACTAATAAACCGTGGCCTTTCAGTGAATAAAAGTTACGATTTGTATTAAATTTTCCCTGAAAAAACTTGTTTATAAACGAATATTTTGATATTCAAGGGCTCAAACATATAATTGAGTAATTGCAACTAATCACGTGGCTTGTTAACTTTACAGCTTCAATATTAATTCATATTTAATTGGATACCTGTGTCGAATTTGAAAAGCTGACATGCGCGTGACGTCGCTTGCGAGTATCCAACTGTCGATTATAAATTATTCATTAATATTAATTTGTTTCACTGATGAGTCACTAAATTAGGTAGTTTTAATACGAAAATATGTTTCGCAAACAGTTTTTTTCCAGCTCTTGAAATCTGATTTTCCGAAATTCACTTAAGTGTCACTTATTTTCTATTTAGCTATTCAATGGCGAAAATATTTACTCTGATAAGAAAAGTAGTTAAACGAAAAAAATTAATAGAACTAACAATAAAATTTTTGATCGAGTACAAAATTAAATATATCTTAATGGAAGTCTTAAATGTAAAAGGATTTGAGGTAAAGTTAATATAAATTAATATATTTTTGAAATAGTTAAACTTGCAAAATTATCAAAATACATTTTTTAAAAAGTTCCAAATTTTTATAATCATTACAAAATTATCAAACATTAATAGAATAAAATATAACATAAAACCAGAATATATATTACAGGCAGTAGAATATCTCTGCATTAATTTATTTCCTAATTACTGCTATGGTATGCTATGAGCATGCTAATAGAATAGTGTTATACTCGCCTATAAGAGACCAGATGAAAAACAAGAGCCATGCAGTGTATGGAAGACCAACGATCAAATGTACATTCATCCAAATAGAGATTAATGGAAGAAAAGGGATGCATGGCACTTTGTTGTTAATTTGGGGTTTGTGTTTTGGTTGTCTGAAAATAGCTGCCGCGCATCCAATAATAAGTAAAAACAGTACACAAGCGAAAAGCTCTGTCCACAGGTGGTTTTGGGGCAATAATTTAGGAATGTGTAAAGTCATGACTCCCATCAGCAGCATTACAAGTAAAGCAGCTCCAATGAGACCTGCTACGGTGGCTGCAGATCTGTGATTTGGTTCCTGTTTGGTCCAATGTGGTGATAGTTCTGATAAGCACGTCATGTACGATTCATCGATGAAATCCACTGACACAGATTTTGTACTCAAGGTACCGTAAATTGGTTTTGTGTGATCATTCATATGATCTTTTTCCGTTTGGCACAGTTTTTCGCTGCATTTATCTGTTGTTTTAACATCATTTGGCGAGTCTTCCTCATACAGTTCCAACGAATCCAGAGTTGTTCGTTCGAGCGCATCTGCTCGGAATCGCGATCCTACTCCATATCTAGTGCACAGAACACAAAGGGCAATAGACATGTAAGCGGTCAAAGTGCCCATTCCTAGAACATGCACTAAAGTTTTGGTACTGCAGAGTAAAGACAGAATGGAAGACAGGACTCCAGCGGCCAGTAAGGAATGGCTTTGAGTTCTACTCAGAAATTTAAAGAGAAGTCCGTCTGCTCCTAATGATTCAAAAAGTTTGACTAGTGAAACCAAAGAAGCAACCACTGAAGAGATAAGTCCAAACAATGCACCGATGGCGATAAAATACTTCATTCCATCAACTTGTCGTACGTCAAATGCCTGTAACAATGGTGCCTCAGCCTCAATCATCGAAAATGGCACAAGTAGGGTCAGAATAATAGATATACTGAAGCAACTTAGAAGACCAATGACGAAGATAGAACTGACAGTTGATGGAAATGTATGGGAGCGATGTGGAGATGCTTTAGTGCAGATGGCTAGAATGTCATAGCCGACAAATGCAAAGAAGCAAAGTGATGATGCAGATATTATCTGAAAAAAAAAACATTTTTGTTAAATTAGCGCTTTATTGATGTTAGGAAATTGGGTATAGTTGGCAACATGAAAAGGAAAAAAAATTGTGTAGATTTTCCTGAATAATATAGATAAAATTCTATTACATAATAACTATAATATTTTAACCGTAGAGGATTTTAGGAACTTTGATAGTCTATAAAATACAAACACTACATTACGCTAATAACTCTAAATTCAAATGTACTGCAATATTTTTCATTTTGATAAATTTTAAATTGGATTAGAATTATTAGTTTTATGTTCATTTTTGAGTTCATAATTTTAAAGATATGAAACTCATTTCAGAGAGTTCTGATCAAAAAAGGAATCGTTTTCTCGAATATTTGGAGAAAAAAAAGATAATCTTCAAACTGATCACTAATAATGAAACTAACAACATTATTTAACAGTAATTCTTATTAAAGAAACTTAAGCAACCAATAGAATGGGCAAAAATTTAAGCTATATTGACCTGGATTTTTTTTAAACTTTCCCAATTTCAGCAAACTTACTAAAATATACAAAAAAAATTTTAATTTTTAATTAAATCAAGAGATCATGTGAAATTGGTTAAATACAATATTCCAATAGAAAATCCAGTACAGTTGTTAACTATAATTAGAATAATAAAAATTCATCTTGTATAATTTAGAATAAATAATACAATCTGATGTTAATTTCCTGTCGTGAAATATTAAGGCTCAGATGTTTCATATTGAATTTTATAGATACTCTCAATAATTTTATTGCCAGTTATAAGAAATACTTTGATAAATTATGGCTTAAGTATAATTAAAGTGAATTTTAATGAGTATGTACGTTTCATGAAACTAATATTTCTTTATTTAAAGTTGAAGCATTTTATTTTTTCTCAAAATATTGTAGATATTTTACAAATGATTTGGATAATTCTTTCACGTGCTAATTTGGCACTTTTATGTTTGAAAACTAATTTATAAATAAGCTACTTAATTTTCAACGTTTAAAGTACCACGGTTTTGTTCTACCCATGAGATTGATATATTTGTCAAAAAATGTTCGATAATTACGTATCTGTGTCTGTAATATCTTTGTACAAAATGAGAATGCGTAAAAATCATTTCATTTGTATTTGTATAAAAAAATGAATACAATTATAATTAGGCTTCTGTGAAATCGCCCTTCAAATAACTTCACTTCTAAAATGTAGTAAGATAGGTAATATTTAGATAAAATGTTTCCCGTTTTGAAATAATAATATTAAAATGATAATGATATAAAACTGTACAAATTATTTTGGCTATAATTAACAAAACAAAGTTCCTTAAACGTAGATAGAAAATAATTTTGAATAAAAATTAATATCGCAAGCCAGCATGCAATTGTGTGGCAGTATTTTTTAAATTGGCTTTGTTAATAATCTCATGAACGCTGATTTCTAATATTTAGCTATTTTCTCTATTAAACTATTTTCTGTAATATTTAACTATTTTCCACCATTTGCTTTACTTTAAGAGATACAGCGTTAGCTATATTATAAAATATGCTATTTTCAATGTCCTGCAAAAAATTGTGTATTTGATGTTAAGGATTTTTTCAAACTGATTTTGGCAGAATTTTGGCACGTCGATTTTAAGATAAAAAGAAAACAAAACTATTTGCTCTAGTTTAAAACAAACGTCGCAACTATTTATTTCGAGTAGATTTGGCAAAATATGCTATTTTCAATGTCCTGCAAAAAATTGTATATTTGATGTTTGGGATTTTTTAAAACTGATTTTGGCAAAATATTGGTATGTCGATTTCAAGATAAAAAGAAAAAAAACTATTAGCTCTAGTTTAAAACAAACGTCGTAGTTATTATATTTCGAGTAGATTTGGCATAATAAAACTAGAGATCAGCGTTAATAAATAAACTCAGCGTTTTAAAACTGGAATGATAAAGAAAAGTTATTTTAATCTTTGAAATCAGAATGCAAAATACGGTCGAAATCAGTTTAAGACATCTTTCTCTTTTATTGAATTAACATTTTTGAAATTTAACTATGATGAAAACGAAGCTGATACAAGAGAACATTTTGCGTTCTTGAAATCAGAGTTACATGTTGTCAAAAATAGTTCCAAAAATTCTGACGCCAAACACAAAAAAACAACAACTTGTAGACCATATAACTTATTTAATATTTGAGATGATTGGTCTCAAATATCACCGCTCTTTATCAATCAATCAATAATAGAAAGAACATTAGCATATCATGGATAGAGTTTAAGCTATTAGCCACTAATAGTGTGAGATAGAAGATTCTGATAGAGACTGAAATTGACTTGCATATTGAATAAACTCTAAAACCTTCGATCTTTTGGGTTAAAAATAATGCTGGAACCACACAAAAAATTCTTCTTAATTTTATATTAAACTCGATTCCTATTAATTTATGCTTTGTGGAAAGTTCAGTGTACGTTATGTACCGTCTTATCTGGATATATTCAATAATTGACTAAGCATATGATATAGATCAAAAGTATTTATATAATGCTACTGTAGAGAGCAAATTAAAGAAATATTATTATTTCAATATAGTAATGAACAACAATTTATCTTACTCCAGAAATTCCATTTGGAAAAAAGCCAAGGCCAGCAATCCAGTTTTCAGAATCCATATTGAAAATGCCAACAACGACAGTGCCTGATATCACCAATAAGTTCACCACTACAAATATGTTATTAAGCGTGCATAGAATCTAAAACAAAGAATAATTATCTCATAAATACAATTTTTAATAATAAAAGTAACTACGCAAAACCAAAATATGACATTTTTCTGTTGTAATAAGATACGATGCATTTTATTCATAATGCACAACGTTATATTCTCAACTTATACAATATAACACAATAAATAAGTTCCCCACTGCAAATATGTTGTTAAACATGCATACAATCTAAAATAAAAATAATAATTTTATAAATTCATTTTTTAATACTAAAAGTAACTATGTAAAGCTAAAATATGAAATTTTTCTGTTGTAATAAGATACGATGCATTTTATTCCTAATTCGCAATGTTATATTCTCAACTTATAAAATATAACAGAGTAAATACTATATTTTATGAAATCACTGAAATTCGCATGATAAATTTACCACTTCAGTAATAATAATTCAGTTGAAAAATAAACATGATAAAAAAAATTCTTGATGATGCAATGATCATGAAGGAAATGAACAATGCCTATTTTGTATTTTAAATAAAAGAAGTTGTTTTCAATCAGTTTAAAAATATATAATCACTAGGAGGCTTCGCCCCCTGCTCGCCAACCCCAGGAACTACTTTCGCAGTTCATTTCGGATTGCTTTCAATCAGATGCTCTCTTTGCTCGCTCTTTGGATACGTTCTTAACGTCTAGCTTTTGTATACTTTTTTGAACACTGAAGTTCCGAAAATTTTTCACTGTAGAAAATTTTAAACCTGTGCATTTCAATATTAATTTGAAATTGCAAACAGTTCACATATTTTTCTTAATCACACTATTCTAAATTTCAGTTGTTGAGAAAAGTAACTGTTGTGAGTTTTGTTTTAANGTTTACGTTAACCTATCAATTAAAACGTATTAGCGTTTTATATAATATAGATTAGCCATATGATGCTCACTACATGCTTTTGCTCGCCGAAACCTATCAATTAAGAATGAAAACTGTTGCCAACGCGAGAAAAGAAATATCATCGGTTTTATTGATACATACGTATTAGCGTTTTTTATATAGATTAACTTGACATGTTAAATTCGCGATTTAATTATCAGATGTTACAACTATCATGTGGTGCCTCCTTTTATTCACCCGGAAAGATTTGGTGTAGTTCTATTTCGAATCCTTTATATTCTAAGTTAAATATCATAATTAAATAATAATATTAACTTTATGATATTTATTTCGGAGAAATTAAAATAATCTTTGAGCTCTTTTTACGCAAAATAAATTTTTTAAAGGAGCAGACGTCAATATTTAATTCATTTCTAATATTTGAAAGCGTATCATATCACCTTCTACGTATTTGCCGTTTTGTTATGCTATAAATACAAAAATATATTCAAATAAAAGTTTACTCAAATTGGTTAAAAAATGTCTCATTCTAATTTTATTTATTATTCTTTAAATGCCACGAAAGAAGCAATTATGGAATAATATCGTGCAATTTATTATTAACGTAAACAATCAATTTAGAGCCGATATTATTCCCTACAAAAATGCATGTTGCAGAAACATTACCTAAGATCTGGGGATCTTAAATCTTTCACAAGTTATAGCACCCTTACCAGATTTTAATTCGTCTTAGTTACATAATATTTGTTTGCGGCGTAATATTTATTACATTTGCAGATATGTATGTACCGAAATTATGGAAGTAAGTGCCAACATAGTTAATAGTCATTTTTTGAATTATAAAAAAAATATGGAAAAATATAATTAAAGTGAAACTACCGTTTAAACATATTAAAAGTGCTGTGAATTCGTTTAGTGCTTGCTCCTCTTAACATACGAACTTTATAAAATCGAGAAATAAAACTCAATATATCAACTGGCTCTTCTTTTTCTATAGTTATTTTTTAAGTGATATACTCTTTAGAAGAGCAACTATTGAAAACCTTGATATATGCAGGTATGAAGTATTAAAGGGAATGTGAACCCTTACAGCTTTTTCACTTGGAATGGAATACTTATATTTTAATATATTCCAAACTCTATCTATATCTATAAACTCTATAAAAGCAACGGATTCCTATAAAGGAATTTATAATGCACTTTTTATTAAAGACATCATAAAAATTAGGACACTCCTTCAGGACGAATAATTAAAGTTCAGTTTAACCATGCTCATAATTTGAGGAAAGGAGACAACAAAATCAACAGCATTGGAAGGATTTATGCTAAACTGTAAAACACTAAAATATTGATATATTTTTTATAAAGTTTGTGCTGATACTTTAATAGTTTCGTTACTTTAAATGTTTTATTATTTCTAAGTTTGTCCTTTATTTTAAGACTTCACAATAACGCGCATGTTACTTCTCTTACTTCAAGCAGATCACCACATTTTTATTTTATTGTAATATTTAGGAAATTTGTTTAGTTTTCACAATGTTTTATTAATATCAGTACTCTCTCGATATCTGAAAACCTTATTATGTCAACAACAAAACTTTTCCCCATGTCATTACATATCCACCTAATGTTAATTTGAATTCCTATGTCGAAGAGTTTCTCTTTAAAACCTTGTTAAGTCGAATACTTTTCGAAGTAAAAATTAAATTTCTTCGGAAAAATCGCCATGTACCAGCACTCAACATTAAAGCATCCCAAGAAAAAATGCTGTCCACATATTAAAACGTTTCATGAAATGTTCCGAAAACATGGAAAGCAATGACTTGGCAGCTATTTTTCGAATAGAAAAGTTGATTGATGAGCAATTTCGAAAAAATGTCGGCAGGTTGGTAGAGTTTGATGATATGATGAGAAATGATGGTAGAGTTTTTTAATAAACTCTATAAATGTAAATTTACTTAAATAAATTTTTTCCCTACTTAAGTGCATAATTATTTTTGTGCTTCTCTTAAAAATAAAATTATCATTGCTGTATTTAGACTTATTGTCAACTACTATAAAAACATATTTATTCGAACTTATTCTAATATATCATGACTCTCCTTTTTAGAATGTCTTTTGGTGAACGTATTTGGTTCTTAATTTGTTATCAAACTCGCTATCTCGAAATTGTTTCGCGTCTCTTCAACTTTGAGATATCGAGATTATACTGTAGCAAAAATGATTATTTATTACAGTATAACGTATTACTATTTGATTTCAAATAAATTAAAATTAGCCAATTTATATAGTTTCTTTAATTGAAACAAAAATTTATTTACATAAATTTAATATTTAATACAATTTCACATTTCTGTGAGACAAATTTAAGGGTATAGTAAAAGAAATAATTTCTGCATTAAGTTATGGGACGGTATATTTTATCAATCTATGAAATATGTCATGAAATTTAAAAACACATAGTTTCTAACAAGTTGAAACCGCTGAAGTTTTACCACCATTTTGTTTTTATTTGAGCATACAAAAGTCTCTCCAATAAAAAAAAAAGTGTGATTTTTATTGATTGTAGGACAACCCTCACATTCGTATTGCATGGTTGTTTCTTCCATTTCCTCACTTAAAAGTTTCCCATGAAAAAATTAATGTATTTTGTTGAGAGTAAGACAACTCTCTTACATTTGTATTGCACGATTGATTATTGTATATCTTGATTAGTATAGGTTCTTCTATCTTGTCTGATTAATGGTGTTCTCTGATTGGGTGCAGGTAGAAGTTGGGATTATAGTATTTTTTTAAAGATTAAAAGGAATGTATGTTGATTAAATTGAATCTTAATTCATTTTTTTAATAAATTGAATTGGGCCACTGGTCAAAGAAGGACTTCAAAGATTGTATATATACATTCTTATGTTAAAAAAAAAACTCGTGCGTTAACTGTTAAAGATGATTTTGATTATCTATGATGACAGCTATTCTCGTTCTTTAAATAACAACAATCATTAAGATTGTAGGCTTAGAAGAAAGTTGTGTGAATCGTTCCATTTTTTTCCATTTGAATTTTTATCAATCACTAACAATTACAATTGAAATATATTAATGCTAAAAATTCAGTTATTTTTCAATCTAAATTATTTTTTTGGTGAAAAAATCCGTGCAGTAAATTCTAAAAATTAGAGATGAACCAGATTCTAAAATTTTGATAGGTCCTGGCATCCGGTAACCAATGAAAGTTGAATTTTTCACCCAGCCGGATCCGGCCACTCAGCTATAAGCTGACGGTTTCGTGTGTCCGATAAGATTTTGATTTATTACCCGGCCGGTTTCGGTTGATTACAACATAAAAATCTATTAATTTTCGATCAAACTTATAATTTAAATTCTTTTTGGATAGAATGATTAGCTTGAAACTTTATTATACTGTGGAGATATCTGCTTGACCTTATAATTAATTAAATTTTCAATTACACTTATTAGTGTAGCTTGTGTTAAACGCAAGGTGTTTTAACAAAATGACGGTATATTAAATGAAAAATATTTAAACCTTCAGGGTTTATTAAAACAATCATTCGATAACTACATATGTTTTTTTTACCAATAAGATTGATCTTAATACAATTTCTTAAACTTTTCGATACTCGGTGAGAAATTTTATCTTATCACCAAAGTTGGAGCAAAAATTAATATGGTGATTTCGTTATCCTTAATGTTACAATTCAATCTCCGTTTTCTTGTAATTTTAAAGCTTCAAAAGATAAAGTGATTCTTAAATCAAGTAGCAAAAAAGGGCAAATTTTCTTTAATAAGAGATTCAATCTATGGAACTGACGCGTATTTGCGTTACACGGACAAAAAAGCTTCGAAAACATCCCATGGTTAACACGACGGTAAGAGCACTTTACCTAAGTGCTGGGAAATTTAATTTTTAGACCCTTTTGGTCAATTGTATAATTTTAGCCTTTAACTTCATGTTTTTTTCCTTTTATCAATTGTCCCTTATAATCTTTTNTATGTTGAATTTTTAGACCCTTTTGGTCAATTGTATAATTTTAGCCTTTAACTTCATGCTTTTTTCGTTTTATCAATTGTCCCTTACAATCTTTTTATTATTTTTCCTGTATTTTAAACTTTAAATTTTTAACCACCAGTTTTCGGTCATGAGGTTTGACCAAAGACATTTTTCATGAAGCTTGTACAAATTCCATTATACTTTGACAGCTCTCACACGGTAAATTCTGGGTCTCACATGGTTGATATCGTTAAATTTATTAAATTTCAAATTTTTATAAGGGTCCGTTGGACAAATTTTAAACTTTAACTTTAAAAAAAAAATTTTTTTTTCTTGATTTTTTCATATATTTTATTGTGAACATCAATCTTTAGATGGTTAATTTCACCTCATAGTTAATAGTCGGAATAATCACAACTATACATATAAAACGTCTAATTCTAGAGGGGAACTTGTTACTTTTGTATTTTTGCCCGTTAACCTCCGGGCTGTTGCCAAAATAGTACTATGTTTTTTTTTCCTGTTTTTAAATAAATGCCACGGAGGGGCTTCGCCGGGCCTCTCGGTCAATGCGTGTGGCAGATACTCTCTGTCCACCTCCGGCTGTGCGGGAAACTGTCACGGCGACAAGATGAAAATTTTTCCCGCATACCCATATTTGGGGGGGTCGGGCATCTAATTTACCTTTTTGAGCTATAGCTAGTAACAAACACGCTTTCTAGTTAAAATTCAGCTTAAAGATACCGATGAACTATTTTATTCAAGCGTACTTCCTTTTGACATCAAACGTAAATCAACTTATATTAAAAGTAAAATATATTTTCAAGTGCGTTTTTTTTTAAAATTAGCGCACTAGCAGCATCAATTTTATTTTCATCCACAGTCTTTTTAAGAATCTTAAGATTTGGCCCAACAATTTTCCTATTAAACCCATTTGCTTTAGACCAAAACGTTAGCAAAGGCTGAATCTAAAAGGCTCGGCTAGAATGTAAACAATAGCCGTAAGCTTAAAAAAAGACATGAGTCTAATAATTTTATGTGGTCAGCAAGCTGCGAGTCTACTTCAGGGATGGGGACAGTGTTGCGCACACGAGATATTTAAAATACATTGAAAGCTTGTAAAACATGGAAACTGGTAATCTTGATTAAAGTTACTTAATTTCGTTCTCACCTCAATAGCTTTTATAATTAACATACATAACTAAACATACTTAATCTAATTTAATTTTTTTTTACCTTAATAGATGAGAACAGCATAATACAAATCCAGAAATTCACTGCCACCGCCGGTAAATCTAAAAACTTGTCCAGACCAGTAAAACTCAACTGTCCAACATGTCCTTGTAGAAAATTAGATATTTTCGAGTCTAGTACAGCGTTCAAGTACTGGCTGCAAACTTTTGAAGCAAGTGCTGCTCCTACAGTATAATCCAGTACCATGCCCCATCCAATAATGAAAGCAAACAACTCTCCCATAGTTGAATACACATAACTGTAGGCAGAACCTCCCTTTGGAAATCTTGTTACCACTTCTGAATAGCATAAACCTATAACAATCATGAATATAATAAAATTGCATTTAAAACAATTATAGTACTATATTTTAAACTAGTTGTAGACAATAGATACTAATAACACAGAATGATACTTTTCACATATTATTAGATATAAGTATATGTATTTAAATAGCGGAACATTTCTATTGTTGATCTGGTTTACTTTGAGCAAAGAAAGGTTCCTAATATGATAAATTCCTTTTAAAATTAAAAATGGAATATCACAATTATTATATTCATTTTTATTATAAAGATGCATGTGATTAGTTTAAATTATTAGGGGTTGGCCAACTTTGCAAATCTCAGAAGCACTGCCTTGTTATGAAGAGTGACTCACAAAGATGAAGACGAAGATGGAGATGAAGATGCAATGATGGGGTGAATTTTTCACATAATTTAAAGTGTACTTTTTGGAATAAATATTTTTAAGAATATATCTAATAAATTATAGTTGCAAAAAATACGGACTTCTAAGAAGTTATGTTGGTATATCTTGTCAAGCTGCATATTGTTTCAATTTCTGTGATGAAATACTAGACAAACATGAAGACTGATATGCAATGAGGGAATGAGTTCTTCAAATCATAAATAAAGGATTACATTTTCGAATAAATCTAAGAATTTAAAGTTGCAGAAAAGAGTACTTCCATGTACTACTAAACTAACGCGTTTCACGTCTAAATGTATTGAACTGGGTAATCTGTAGCGAGTATTTTAATTAATCAGTAATGCTTCATACACATCGTCCTAGGAATCACGAAATTATCAAACATTCCTTAAATGTTTCGCCAAACAGAACGGTCTAGTGAATTTCATTTCATGTATTACGAGAGTTAGGGATGAATTACATCAATTATTACAAGTGTTTAGTTTAACATTTGAGAGGAATTGATTGAAATTTTTTTGAACACAATTATAAATTAGTTTATCCAAAGATAATTTCAAGCAAAAAATAAATTTTAGTAAATATTTATTATTTTATTTAATACCAATCGAAAAAATTTTGAAGTGTAAAGTATAAAATTTTTTACAAAATTTTAAAGGATGTAATTATGCATAACAAAATGCAAAGCTTGAACGAAATAGATTGGATAGTTTCTGAGAAATATTATTTTTTTAATAAACGTCGTTGAACAGTCGACCCAATTTTCGGGTTTACGACTTCTAATGTTCAACTCCATAGCCTTGTAATTTTGAACCCAATCCAGAAGACAAGGGACCTCCTGGATCAAGTATTGGGAGAAATTTGCCTTTCTGGAGGACTTTTTGATGGAATTTACCCGCATTTGCGTAACATGGAGAGGGATACCATGAGAACCTCCCACGGTTAGCCTGATGGCAAGGGGTCTCTAACCCATGATCCGTCTGCCACTGAGGATATTTCACGTCAGCACGGTGGTTGGTGCAAGCCGTATGCGGAATTCATATCGACCAGCCATCACTGGGATTCGAACCCGGTTCACCTCATTGGAAGGCGAACGCTCTATCCCCTGAGCCATTGCGGCTCAGAAATAGTGTTTTAAATATAAAACTTTTTTAACATTCTTATTATTTTGTAATTTAAAATATCGTCAGCACCAATTAATTAGCATATTTGAGGTCACGCCCTCAAACTATTAAGATTGAGTCTTAGAAAGTGTAGATTCGATCCTAGATCGAAAGTTATTAAGGGTGATCCCTTTATTTATTTATTATTTTTTTTTGCATTGTACATCTTTAAAAACTTTTACCCGGATTAAAATATACGCACTTATCAAATGTAAAGATAATCAATATCGCAGAAAATTTTTACACGATTGGTTGCCTAAAAGCATATTTTCTATAAGCTAAATATTAAAATCCAAGAAATCCTTACAGCTATAAGGGATTAAAATAAGTAAACAGAAAATGAATAGGAATAGCAAACTTCATTAAGGATTTCATCCCAGCCTCTATTTATTTCCATTGTTTAAACAGAGGATTAGTAAATACACCTTGCAGGTTTGACAAAACTCTGTCTAAGCTTCTTATGTTTGTGAAGGAAGAGGGTAAACTTGCGCGTAAGCTTTTAGATTTGTGAAAGAACCCATTCTTACGGTTAAGCATTTTTCTTTGATATTTACATTAGCGGTTCGTTAAAATGGTTTTAAAGTTAAAAACTAAAAGCACAAAATAAAGTACTTTCACCATATTTATTTTAAAATAAATCAATACCTAAAGAGGTTGAAGTTAGTTAAAACTGTTTGATAAATTAACAGTTTCTAGTTATTTTAATAATTCAATGCATCTAATTTTAATTGCTTGTTACGAAATAACGAATTAAACATATGTTTTAATCAATCTCTAATATTTTGCTTTACTGTTTTTCACAAATTTGTTTCGTTTCATTTCATCAAAAATTGATAAACGTTTTAAAAAGCTTTTTTCTAAAATTTATTTAAATGCGTGAAATTGATTTAATTTTCTTAATCAATGGATATTTATTTTGGTATGAGCTCATATAGAGAATTTGAAAGAGTTGGCGTGTGATTTATCAGAATAGTACTGCATGTTGGTGTTTGAATTTATGCAAAAATAAAACAAATTTTTTGCATAATCATAGTGCACGTTGCTGCATTTTCTTATGGTCAGCTTTGTAAAGGAATGAAATGTTTACATGGGCTATAACTCATAGCTATAACCTTATTTATGGCCATGGCAAACATACGATTCCTATTTATGGGACATTATTGGTGCTTTTTCATTTTGTTCAGCTTTATTTATAACTCAAGTTGGTACCGGCTCTTTTGAAATTTGGTTTAATTAAATTTGATGTAAGAATTTTTAGTGTAAAAGTTACTTTCTTCTCAGCTTTATCCACACTTTCTCAGATTTACTGCAGCTTATTTATAAAATATACGGTTTCAACTGCTGAATAGAAAGTTTTGTTTGTTGTGTAGAATTTGTAAACTGATTACGAAATGGTTTTGTGCGCTGATTTCGAATATGAAAAAGTTTTATTACTATTAGCTCAAACTCTAATTTTATAGACACAGTGGTTTATGAAAAAAGTCATTGTGTAAATAAGGTCCACGTAGAGTGTTAAAATATTTACTGCGCATCGACCGAAGTAGACGAATATGGTATACCTCAATGGCTTAGAAGGATGTAAGGAACTACATTATAAGACTACTATTTTTTAATCTAATTTGTAGGCCTCTTTTGAAATAATCTTTAACTTTCTAATGTATATTGTGACAAGGCAAGATGTTGTAGATTGTGACAACTAAAAGAGATAAAATAGAGAGATTTTGCGCAGCGTTACTGTTTCCCCTACTCAAACGCTATTTGAGCTTTATGGCGCATGCAGGAAACGAAGGAATTCGGATAAAGTGATTAGTTAAATATATATATTTGGAGATAGTTTTTTTTATGACAGAGAGTGTGGGGAAGGGAACACGTATGTCCTTCTGAAGGCTCTAAAGTCATCGTGACCTTTTCTGAACGTATCAGTCCATCCTGATTACCGAAAGATGTCAATTTAAAGAGGCATTTTGAAATAAAAGCTGGATCCATAATGGACTTTTGATGTTTCATTCAGATTTCAAACAGGCAGAGTACATTTAGGCGTGGAAGAAACCATTGACCAGATAATATATACGACAAGGTCCCTCCCCTTCCTCTGCCGAGTCATTGCCCTTAAGCAGCAGAACAACGTATGTGAAAAAATGCTTAATTAATATGACAGTATATGACATACACACCAAAAAGCCATTACATTATGACCACCCTCCATCTACAACAATGGGCTCGCCCAGGTTTTCATGGTTTCTCGCCCAGGAACAATGTTTTCATGGGGCGCATTAGGATCCATAATCCTCATAGAACAATCCCTGACGTCTGTAAGCTACTTGAACATAGTTGCAGACCAGGTTCACCCATTCATGGCAACAGTTTTTCCTGCGGGGGATGGTGTTTACCAACAGGATAATGCACCATGTCATAAGGGTCGAATCGTCATGGATTGGTTCGAGGAACATTCCAGTGACTTTCAAGTCATGTCTTGGCCCCCAAATTCACCTGACCTTAATCCAATAGAGCATTTGTGGTCCTACTTGGAAAATCAAATTCGTGCTACCACGCTACCCCCTCGCTATGTGTGGGAATTGCTGGAGTGAGCGCTTGGTACCAGATACCTCAGACTACCTATCAGCACCTTGTGGAATCAATGCCACTGCGGGTGCTAGCAGTTTTGAGGACTAAAGGTGGTCCTACGTGTTTTTAGCAGGGTGGTCATAATGTAATGGCTCTTCGGTGTATATATGTATGTAACAGTACGTAACATATTAAAAATAATTTTTGAAAAGGATAAATTGATACAGAGTTATTCATATCAATCTCATTGTTTGTATCGATATTTCATAATCAGCAAATATCCAACTTTATCACCAATGTATAAGTAACTTTTATCAGTGTATAAGCAAATATCCAACTTTATCACCAGTGTATAAGTAACTTTTACCAGTGTATAAGCAAATATCCAACTTTATCACCAGTTTATAAGTAACTTTTACCAGTGTATAAGCAGATATCCAACTATAACCCCCAGATTTCGTGAAATTTTGGGGGTTTGAAAAGTCAACTTAAACACTGGGATATACCGTATTTACTTTCCTCGATCGAATCTTTTATATATTTTAAAGAATCTTTATGCTATCAGAGTTCATCCATTCATATTTTGCTGTAGTAATTTTTCAGAACAAACAAGAAAATAAATGAAAATAAATTTACCTCCCAAGCATGAAGTCACTGCTGCCATGAGAACTGCTAGAACAACAGAAGGACCGGCGTGATCATGAGCAGCAATAGCAATCAAGGCGTATACACCAGTGCCTAATGCTGTAGCAAGACCTGCAATCAATTAAACATATTATTTCGTATGAAGTTTTATTTAATTACTTAAACTAACTAATTTAATTATTTGATTTAGTAAATCCCTTGAATCAGTTGTAAAACTGATTTTTAATTAAATCAATTTTGTAATTAAACATAAGTATTAGTTAGTTATTAAAATTATTTATTGATTAATACTAATTGATTTATTTTAAAAACTATTTTTAGATTATTACAAAAAAAATGTTTGCAAGTTAGTTATCAGAATAAAGTTTTACATTTATATATGTTGGCAAAACCGCGGTAGTTGGTTCCGACACTCTCTTACACAACACGAAAAAAAAAAACTTTTGTAACACTTTCGAAATACTATTAATGTTTAAAATTCCTTTTATTAATAATTCTTAAAAGTTCATAAAAACTTTTAACTTTAAAAAATAATAAAAAATTTAATTATTAATTTAAAAAGATGACCAGTTAATTTCTTTTAAAAACTTAGAAGATGTTGATATCTTAACATAAGTCCATTAGACGAATGTTAAGTCGTCTAAGAGTAATATTCATAATGTACCTAAGCTATGTGTTTGTAATTAGCTTTCTGCGTTGTAAATAGTTCATAAAATAATCAACATTTGATAAAAATCATTTTTTTTGTTCTTGAATTATTTGCAATGTTTTTTTTTAACCTCGCGTACGCGGTTCAGGAAAACACTTTTTAACCCTTTGATGCAGAATTTTTATTAAACAAACTTTTCATTCTTTTTTTAAGTGTGTCGTTTTAATTTATGTCAAAATAAGTAAGAAATATTATATTTAACATAGCAAAACTCTATGATTAGGAAATGCGGCATAAAACAACCTAGTCTTTTTTTGCATCAAAGATAATATCTTCCAAACACGGCTAACTTATTGCTTAAACATTACTGTTACATGGTTTTGGTTGAGCAACAATTTTTCAAATATGCAAAATTTTTGATTAGAAAATAATAGTAAATTTTCTTTCTTTATACCCATATTTTTCCATTACATTTTACACTTTCTTGATGCAAAATTTACACATAAGAGCATTCATTACAAATTACGAAATAACTACAGCACGTCTTGATAGAACTTATTCTTTACGTTTATACGTTAACATACATATATATTAATAATTCTTCGTAATATTATCGCAATCGTATCGTAACTTAATATTACAAATATAATAATAATTCTTCGTAATAAAATCTAGAGATTCTTTGTTATATTCTCATCTATATTTGTGGCTCTTAAATACTTTAGTTTCTGTCGAGAGATGGTAGGACATACATCACGAATACCCCTAGAGAGGATTAATCATGGATTTGGTTTTCCTCGATGCATTTCCATTTAGGGGACAGATACACACGCCTCGCTATCTCGTTCAGTTTTGCGGGGATCAATATCGTCCTGCATACCCAAAAGACATTGCTTAAATCAGCTATCCTTTAATGTTGAACACGAAAATGTTACTATCGAGGTTTGGAGAGAAAATTGTAGTTCAGTTACACACTAAAATGTGAGGTATACAATGCGAAACTTTTACACGGGGTAATGTCAGTTGATAATGAATATTAAAGAGGGTAAAATAGCATAATACTCGAATATTACAACATTGCGTTTGAATATCAGTACTTTCAGCTTTGGCGCATTTTATAATTTAAAAAAAAAATATAGCTGAAAATTGATTGATCTTCCAAACTCGAAACTGCAAAATAATTTTGCTAACTTGAAGTATTTGATTAGAATTACTGGAATTAGCTTTTAACGATGCAGTTTTTATATTCTTATCACTAAACAGGCAATACAAAACAAGATGGAATTTATATCATTTAACATTTCACGTTAAAGAAAAAAATGTAAAACAATTATTATTTATTGTACCTAGAAAAAGATAAAACAAATCATGCTTTTTTTATCGAAGTATATGTATCGAACTGTTTTCAGTAAGATCTCATGTTAAAAATAAAATTTAAAGTTTTTATTAATTACTAGTGGGCTGCGCTCCCTGCTCGCTAACGCCCGCCAACCCTCGAAAATTGCTACGCAATCTTATATGGTTTGCTTCGCTCGCTACTAACTTAGGTACATTGCAAATGCACAAAATTCTAAGAATTCAAAACAATCATTCAAATCCATATAAAAACTTTAAAAAAAAATTTTTATTATAGGAAAACGTTTCTTTATATAACATCAAATCATAATGGTCTGACACCGTTTTCCATTGTCGTCGGAGCATTTTTATTGGCTGAAAAATCACGTGGTAGGATCCAGTTTCCCCCCATTCATTTCCATATTGTTTAGGTTGTCATCAGCAGATCACACTTGGTGAGAATGCTCTCTCTGGTGATTTCAGTTTCCGTTTTTAAAAGCGCTATATGTTGAGCCATCTCTGCTTGATTTGGCATGTGATATTTTTAGCGGCAATCATATTTATATAGATTATAGAAATATATATATAGATTATACTTAAAAAAGATAAAATAAATAAAATTTTTTTATTGAAGTAAATAATTTATTTTCTGTATTCCGAAGTATATAGTTTACTTAGTGTTTTTTCTGTATTTTTTTCTGAGTTGAAATTAAGCAGAGTATCAGTTTTTTCACCTCATTGTTGAAGGTTCAATTATTTAACTTCATTTGCCATAATAGTTGATTTTGTGATAACAAAGGAAAAATATAAATACCTAAGAAAGTACACGAGATAAGATATTCAGAACACGCTATTATTTTTTATTTAAAACGTGTGTTACACAAACTTATCGTTTCATACTGTTATATTTATATAAATAGTATCGCCATATGGACATTAATCATGAATAACGTGCCTGTATGAATGTAAATAAGACTAAAGATATAAATTTATTTGTAAAGTGCTGAATGACATCATTATTTTAAAACTTGCACATGCATTTTTTTAGCAAAAATTCAAAATCCTTATTTCTGATTAGATTATCAATTTTAACGCGTTCGCTGCCACCAACGCGCTTGAGAGCGGCCCCTCCTGGTATGCCGACCACTCGCTGGCGCGTCGATCGACTATGATAAGTTCAGAGATGCCAACTTGCTCCGCACAGCAAATATATATTTTAAAGTGGTTGTTTATCAATTGGGTATAACATGAAAAAAACACAACTACTTCGATTTAGTAGGAACAACATATGACGCAATGCTAAACGAATGGAATTTAGTTGTTGTTTATTTAGTTATTGTTATTAGTAGTTGTTGTTATTTTTTTAGTTGTTGTTGTTTATTTAGTTGTATTTAGTTTCAATAACTTTTCTTTATAATGCAATAAAATCTGGCGAGCAGCTATTTAAACGATCGAACACTTCGTTTGTTTACTTGTGGCTTGAAGTTAGGCTCGCAGAAAATGCCGTTCTTGGGTTAAATTTAGTAGGAACAACACAACCTGTGACGTAGGCTATATTATACCCAATTGTGATTCTTTGTTTTAATAAATTCAATTTAGTCGATTTTTATCCACCACTATTTCTAAATAATTAGTAGGCTTATATATTTCACCACTTCATTACAATTATGACATGTTAAACCTTTTAAAAATTAACGAAATTATTCAAATGTTTGCAAATTTTAAATTGCAGTTATTTACCGTTTTTTAAATTATTTTGGCTTGTCCGTAGCAGTTGGCTTCTCTGTAAGTTACATGCTCCGGCTTCAGAGGATGGAAATATCATTTTTAGTGGCAGCGAATGTGTTAATAAATTTTTTTTTAAAAATACGTTACTTTAAAACTCTGGTATGATAAGATTGACAACAATCCGTTATGGACAGGTAGGTACCGACGACATAACGGTGACGATGTGGCCAACAATGCACAGCGTTTACCTTTAATTCTCAGACAAGATTCCTTTCATCATTCAGAAACTGAGTGGACATCAAACTAACACCTGAGATTGAACCCCCGTTCTTCACATTGGTAGCTCAGCGCATTTACTACAGTATAGTAAGGATCAGATCCACTGATCTTTAATCCTTACCTCTGAACCATCGTTTCAGAGTTTCTATTACATTATAAGTTTCTATTTTCAACAAAAAATTGATACAGAAAAATGGTAAATTATCTTTTTTCTTTTAACCTTACTTGAAGTTTCAAACTATTTTTATAGTTATATATGATAAAAAAGATCAAAATGACAAATGCACGGATTGATGCCCAATTGCTAATGCACTCGAATAAGTTATCTAAGAAATCATTAACTCTTAATGCACCGATGGAACTTGAAGTCCCATGAATACTATTTTCCTATAGCATTGAAACAGAACAAAATGTACCATTAGAACTTGTCTGTACCTGTAATATGACTTTCCGTTTATCATTACTAGTTGACAACACCTATGGAACTATTTAGTTGTAAATATTTTGTTCAACAACTAGTCAACATCACTACAGATGGCAGGAGAGCTGCGATTAGATCTACGACATAATGGAGTCGTAATTTCCTTATTATGTAATAGCATAGCCAACCTTTGAGTTTCAACGTGGAAAGAAACTTGTCATCCGTTACATTACCGATCAGCAGTAATTTCTATTCATGGTCTATTAAAATCAGCCAAGTATTGGCACTGAAAAATAAAATATGCTCCTAATGAAGATTGCTTTAACGGTACGAAAACAAAAGAAAAAAGCAGTGGACGTTCGATGCTGATAATAATAATAATGCTGATGCCTTGGCTTTTATGAAACTTTCCTTATCGAATGAACAGAGCTTACAATTTGATAATGAAAACAATGTCAAAAATCTATAGGAAAAAATTAAACGAAGATTCACAGGAAAAATAGAGAATTGAAAAATCACGACAGGATTGAAATAAATAATACCGAAATTAATGACTCAGAAAACGTATAGCGACTACATTGCTTGGGTTAGTGGACTCTCCTGGACGAAGTTCTTGAAATACTCAGAGGGGAAGAAAGCATGCTAAAAAAGTAGAATAATTTTAGAAGAAGTGAAACATTCCAAATTAAACCTGAAAAT